ATCCTCCAGGATCTGGCGCTCTGGCGGACCCCCGGCTGCCTTGACCCCCGGGCCCCCGGGGCCGTCTCAAGCAAGGGCTCCTAAGTTCGCGCTTCGCGCTGCGCGAAGCGCGAAGCGCGAATAACTTCGCGCTCTCGCGCCGCCCCCCAAGGGGGAGAAGAGGAGGACGAGGAGGAGGGGGAGGAGGAAGGAGGACGGCGAAGCGCGAAGCGCGAATAACTTCGCGCCCTCCTGGGAGCCCTTGCTCAAGGCTCCCCGCTTCTGCTCCCGGCCCGCCCGGCACAGCTCCGCTCAGACTCGGCCCCCGGCCCCCTCCCGGGGGCCAGTGGGTGGGGTCCCCCCTGCCACTGCTTCTCTCGAGGCGGGGCGCGGGGAGAAGCGTCTACCTCTATAGATGAGAGGCCCCACCAAAAAGCGCAGGTCAGAACTCGGCCTCTGGCGGCCGCTCTGGACGATCCGGCGGCCGCCCGGGAGCGCCATCGGCGAGGCGCAGCTGCTGGAGAGCACCCCGAGGCCAGAAACCACCGAGGACCGACGACAACCCCAGACCCCCGACGCCATGAATTGTTCATGACGTGGACCCCCAGCGGCCTGGACCAATTCCCCGCGACCGGTTTCCGTCCTGCGTCGTTTTTGAACGGTCCCGAGGGCCGTGAAGGGCCCCCAGAGGCCGAAAAGGAAAAACTCCCGTCCTGATTTTTGTCATAACCCGGGGGGGTCTGGGACGACAAGCGTTAAGTCGGGCATGTCCCCCTGCAAAGGGATTGTGGGCGCAAAATTAAAAGACACTGTTTTATATATGAAAAAACATAACAATCCGCCGACCCTGTCGGCGTGTGTTGAGGGGCTTCTCCGTTCGCGTCGTGTTTTCTTTCCTGCTCGACCTTCTCTACCCGCATCCAGCTTCTACTCACCGTTCTCCCGCTCTCCGTCAGCAGAGTCATCTTCCTTGCACATGCCGTGCCAAGCACTTGATTGAACGTCGCCAATACTTCGAAGGGAAACTCCTTCCCTTTTCCCTTCACCGGTGCGGGGGGGGAGAGGGGGCCGGACCCGGGGGTGTCCCGGGGGGCCACCCCCCCAAATCCGACTCCCCCGGCAGCCTTCGAGGGCCCGGAGGGCGTCGCGAGGGGGTTCTCGACCTCATCCTCCTCCCCCTTCTCCGCCTCTTCCTCCTCCTTCTCCTCCTCCTCCTCCTCCTGCGCCTCCTCCCTCCTCCCCCTCCTCCTCCCCCTCTGAGTGCTCGTCCCTGTCCTCCTCCTCGTCCTCCACCTCTTCCTCCTCCTCCTCCTTCTCCTCCTCCTCCTCCTCCTTCGCTTCCTCCTCCCCCTCCTAGCCCCTTCGATCAGGGTCGGCGGCACCGGCCGTCAGGCCTCTACAACAATAACAAAAATAGTAATAATAATAATAATGATAATACTAATAATGATAATACGAATAATAATAATGATCATACTAATAATAACAATGATAATACTAATAATGATAATACTAATAATAATGATAATAATAACAATAATAATAATGATAATAATAATAATACGAACAATAATAATCATACTCATAATAATACTAATGATATTAATAATAATAACATAATAATAATAATGATAATACTAATAATGACAATACGAATAATAATAATGATCATACTAATAATAACAATGATAATACTAATAATGAGAGTACTAATAATAATGATAATACTAACAATAATAATAATGATAATAATAATAATACGAACAATAATAATCATAATCATAATAATAATAATACGAATAATAATAAAAAATAATAATAATAATAATGACAATAATGATAAGAATACTAGTACGACAACTAATAATAGCAATTATACTGATACCTAATAATAGCAATCATAGTACTAACACTTAAAATTATGTGACTACGAATTATAATAATAATAGTAATAATAATTATAATAATAGTAATAATAAAAATAGTATTCATAATAATAATAATAAGAAGAAGACGAAGAATACTAAGCATAACCAAAATAATAATGCTAACGGAGTTCCCCACATAAAGATATTAACGGTTTCGTGGGACCCATGGGGCACGACAACATCAACACGAAGGAGAAGCTCATCGAACGAGTAAGTACGCACGAAAGGGCAGACGAAAGAAGGGAGGAGGGAGGACAGGTGCTCAGGAAACGAAACCTTGTAAATAATACGGTTTCTTGATACCCTCCTCGCTCTGGAGGGGCCCTAGTGGAAAGGGGGAGGGCTACGAAACCTGGTAAAAAGTAATGCTTTCCGCGACCCTCCTCATTCAAGCGCGGCCTCTCTGGAGGAGTGGAGGGGGCACGAAACCGTGTAAACTATTGTTTTCCGATACCCTCCTGGAGGAGGAGGAGGAGGAGGAGGAGGAGGAGGAGGAGGAGGAGGAGAGGCCTCCCTGGAGGGGTGGGAGGGGCACGAAACCAGGTAAATCATATGATTCTCCAATACCCTCCTCGCTCAGGCGGGGCCTCCCTGGAGAGGTGGCAGGGGCACGAAACCATGTAAATAGTATGGTATTCCGATACCCTCCTCGCTCAGGCGGGGCCTCCCTGGAGGGGTGGGAAGGGCACGAAACCATGTGAATAGTATGGTTTTCCGATACCCTCCTCGCTCAGGCGGGGCCTCCCTGGAGGGGTGGGAGGGACACGAAACCATGTGAATAGTATAGGTTTCCGATACCCTCCTCGCTCAGGCGGGGCCTCCCTGGAGGGGTGGGAGGGGCACGAAACCATGTAAATAGTGTGGTTTTCCGATACCATCCTCGCTCAGGCGGGGCCTCACTGGAGGGGTGGGAGGGACACGAAACCATGTAAATAGTATGGTTGTCCGATACCCTCCTCGCTCAGGCGGGGCCTCCCTGGAGGGATGGGAGGAGCACGAAACCATGTAAATAGTATGGTTGTCCGATACCCTCCTCCTCGCTCAGGCGGGGCCTCCCTGGAGGGGTGGGAGGGGCACGAAACCATGTAAATAGTATGGTTTTCCGATACCCTCCTCGCTCAGGCGGGGCCTCCCTGGAGGGGTGGGAGGGGCACGAAACCATGTAAATAGTATGGTTGTCCGATACCCTCCTCGCTCAGGCGGGGCCTCCCTGGAGGGGTGGGAGGGGCACGAAAACATGTAAATAGTATGGTGTTCCTATACCCTCCTCGCTCAGGCGGGGCCTCCCTGGAGGGATGGGAGGGGCACGAAACCATGTAAATAGTTTGTTTTTCCGATACCCTCCTCGCTCAGGCGGGGCCTCCCTGGAGGGGTGGGAAGGCGGGAGGCGGGAGGGAGAAGGAGAGGATGTTCTGGGAAAACAAGAACCCCACTCAGGATGTGGAAAATATGTATCATCATCATACAAATACTGATAGTAGTAATAATAATAATGATAATAATAATAATAATAATAATAATAATAATAATAATAATAATAATAATAATAATAATAATAATAATAATAACAATACGAATAACAACAACAATAATAAACAATAACAATAATTATGCTAACGGAGTTCCCCACATAAAGAGATTAACGGTGTCGTGGGACCAACGTTCTTGATGCCCTCCTCGCTTTGGCGGGGCACCGTTGGGAGGGGCACGAAACCATGTAAATAGTATGGTTTCCGATACCCTCCTCGCTCAGGCGGGGCCTCCCTGGAGGGGTGGGAGGGGCACGAAACCATGTAAATAGTATGGTATTCCGATACCCTCCTCGCTCAGGCGGGGCCTCCCTGGAGGGGTGGGAGGGGCACGAAACCATGTAAATAGTATGGTATTCCGATACCCTCCTCGCTCAGGCGGTGCCTCCCTGGAGGGGTGGGAGGGGCACGAAACCATGTAAATAGTATGGTATTCCGATACCCTCCTCGCTCAGGCGGGGCCTCCCTGGAGGGGTGGGAGGGGCACGAAACCATGTAAATAGTATGGTTTCCGATACCCTCCTCGCTCAGGCGGGGCCTCCCTGGAGGGGTGGGAGGGGCACGAAACCATGTAAATAGTATGGTTTTCCGATACCCTCCTCGCTCAGGCGGGGCCTCCCTGGAGGGGTGGGAGGGGCACGAAACCATGTAAATAGTATGGTTTCCGATACCCTCCTCGCTCAGGCGGGGCCTCCCTGGAGGGGTGGGAGGGGCACGAAACCATGTAAATAGTATGGTTTTCCGATACCCTCCTCGCTCAGGCGGGGCCTCCCTGGAGGGGTGGGAGGGGCACGAAACCATGTAAATAGTATGGTATTCCGATACGGGGCCTCCCTGGAGGGGTAGGGGCACGAAACCATGTAAATAGTATGGTATTCCGATACCCTCCTCGCTCAGGCGGGGCCTCCCTGGAGGGGTGGGAGGGGCACGAAACCATGTAAATAGTATGGTATTCCGATACCCTCCTCGCTCAGGCGGGGCCTCCCTGGAGGGGTGGGAGGGGCACGAAACCATGTAAATAGTATGGTATTCCGATACCCTCCTCGCTCAGGCGGGGCCTCCCTGTGCAATGGTCCCGCTTAGAACCACTGCCCTGATAGCAATCCTTGATGATGCTACTCTCTTCTCTGCTCTGACAACGTGTCGAGGGTACCGTTGGCGGTCGGGTCGAATATGAGGGCAGTGACTGTGCGATGCTGATCGCACTGTGGTGATGAACAGGATCTGTTTATCAGCGGGCAGTTCGCTGTCCTGCGTCTCTCGGACGCACACCAGAAGTCCAGCGTCGCTGAGACGCTGCAAAGGCTTGAGCCAGAACGGTTTCAGATGAACCTGTTCTGGGATATTATAATGGGGATCTCGGAGGATCTCGGAGGGCCTACTAAGCAAGGCTGGCTGCAACCTGGAGGCTAAAGGGGGCCCGATTCGCCGGGAAACGCTTGGCTAACATACATGGGGCTCCTTTGGAACCTGAAGCTTATATCACGCACGGCCTCTAGAGGCCATCTGTCGTAAGTAGGCTCTAGTGAGGCAGGCTCGGGGCTGTGAATTGCATGCCCAAAAGCTAAAGATCGATGTTACGGCATCGAGACCTGCCTCTGGCAACTGAATTCACAGAAAGCACAGAGCGCGTGAGAGGCTTCACAGTGCCCCAAAGGGCTATATCTCCGGCAGGGGTCTCCTGCTCGTAGGGATTGTCGCGAGCGAAGTAGATCAGGGCCTCCAGCATAGCTTCATCGTCATCTGCTGATAACGGCTTGCCGTGGTCCAGCTTGTCCATGCCCTCGGTCTTGCGCTTCCTAGCACTGCGGTGCAGGGGGTCGTCCACGAGTCTCCAGCGCTGACCTGACCGGAAGAACTCCAGCAAGACCTTGGCGGCTCGATCCTTGGTGAGGCCGTCGGCTAGCATGGCATCGCTGTGGACCCAGCGTATCTGGAGGGCCGTCTGCTCCTTCTGCTGTCGAATGCCTAGACACTCGATGCTCGTCCGCTTATCGCGTAGGCCGAGACCAGCTGACTCGCTCTTCTCGATCGCGTCGTAGCCCGACTTACCGTCTGTGACCAGTACGCCAGGGCAGGATGAGATGGCGTCGTTCACGTGTTGCTTGTTGGTGTAGTCCACTTGGCCGCACTCCAGCTCGTAGATGAACAGGCGCACGTAGCTGATCTCGTCGAGGGTCTCTGTCATCATCTGAACCTCCGCACTCGTACTGCTTCTGGCCACTCGCGGTAGTTTGCACGATCTCCATGAGATAGGCGCTACCGTCTCTGTCGAGCCACTCAGGAAAGACAGTGGTGCCAGCACGATCATCTCGCCACCCTGGGACTCGCCAGTGATACGAGCGGCCCAGGCAGCATCGCCCCAGCCAACCACAGCGATCTGCTCGATGGCCGGGATGAGCATGACCACGTCGGCAGTGTCATTCATGGTGCGGATCAGCTTGTTGATCTTCTGGATGGTAGAGACCGTCGCCGTAGGTATCTCCGCTTGAAGTAGAGAGACTTCTGCACTGAGCCACGGGGCCGACTGCTGAGCTCGCCATCCGACTGTACCAAGCCGGCCTCGTAGATCTGATCTCTCTTTGTCTGAAACTCCTTCCGTGGGCTTGCGTCCACGTCGTATCTTGATGGGCTCCACGTTCAGGCTGTAGCTGTCCTGTGCGAGACTGCAGGTGTAGTCCTCATTCTGTCGAATACTGATGCCGCACTGCACAAACGCTCGGCTCTCCCAAGGTGTCCACTCGAAGGCCTGTTGTATCTTCTGTCGTTTCTTGAGGAAGGCCGAGTTGTGATGGTCGCCGGCGATCATCATGTCGTCGACGTGTAGGATAACCATGCCGACCAGCTTCGTGCCGTCTCGAATGACCCAGACGCACGGCTCGCACTGTATCACCTCCAGCTGCAGCGTCTTGAGCGTGTCCTTGAAATGGAGCCACCATTTGCGAGGAGCATGTACAAATCCGTACATAGGCTTGAGGAACTGCAGGACCTCGTCGTCTTTCATGCCGAAGGCCTGACGCACGTCCTTAGGCGGGTCCGCGTAGATCTTCCTCTTCTCCTCGTCCGTCTCGCCCTGGAGAAAGGCTGTCACTGCATCGGCCTTCTCCAGTTTCCACTTGTGTCTGGCTGCCATGGCCAGTAGAAGTTGACGTGCACGTCTGGAGGCAACTGGTGATTCTGTCCGCAGGTGCAGCAGGTCGGGGTCGCTGAAACCGAGCACGACCAGTCTGGCTTTGCCTCGTAGCACGTTCCCCTGGTCATCCTTCTTCCAGGTCAGCACGAAGCGGCAGCGCAGCAGGCGCGCCGGGTCGATCCCCTGTCGGCTGAGGATTCTGACGGCCTTCGTGCTGAGGACTGAGGTGCACTCCTTCTGCTGGGCCTCGAGTAGCAGCTTCTTCTCCTCAGGCGTCGCCTTCTTAAATGAGACCTCCACCCGGCCCTTGCGGGCCTGCGATGCCACGAAGTTGCTGGGGTCGTCCATGTAGGCCATGAACGCATGCTCGTTGCTGACAGGGATGTCCAGCACGATGAGTTCGTCGTTCTCCTTCATACCGTCGTACTGCTGGACACTGTAGGCATAGTCGCTGTAGAAGTTACCCTCTTGCAGGTAGTAGGAGAAGGCCTCCTGGGTCGCAGCGTTGACCCGCTGCTTCTTAGCCGGGGGCTCGGTTGTGCCGGGCTCTCGGATCCGGCGCTTATCGTTCACGTCGGGCGCTGAGATATCGTCGAGGTCATCGTCAGTCTCCGCCACGATGGGCCGCTGCGACGCGCGCTCCTCCTGGTCGTCGCCGGGAGGGGCTTCCATGACGATCTCCTCCTCGATGGGCTGCTCAGCTTCTTCGGGTAGTCCAGCTTCGTGGCCGTCTTCCTGTGGAATGCCTGGTGGAACTTCTGGCTGAGCTGGCTGGATGAGAGGTTCCTGGACCTCGGTCGCCTCGTTCCAGGGATTACCCTTCTTCCGCATACGTCTGGGAGGTCGCGGTCCAGGTAGAGGTCGCTCTTCCAGTCCTGGTGGCGCCGCCAAGGCTCCACCACCTCCGCCGCCTCCTGGGTCAAGACTACGAGGGTCTCCTTGTGGAACAGGAAGATCATCGTCCTCAGAAAGGGCCCAGGGTCCGCTCGCGTTGCTCTCGAAGGTGCGGGCGCTGACCGATTCACCGTCATCAGCGGCCAGATCCTCGCCAGTGGGCGGGGACTCGTTCGACAAGTCGATCACCTCGTTAGTGTCGAGCTGCTTCTGGACATCGCCGAAGGTCCAGGTCCCCGGCTGCTCGCGGCGCGAGCGTAGGGAGTCCATCGCCTCCTCAGAAGGCGTGGCAGGTCGAAGTTGTTCGGGAGCAACTCGGTAGAGGCGGCCAGCCAGTGTGATATTGACCACCGTCCCAGGTAGACCAGGTCGGTGTCCCGAGCTCGCTGGCTCGTGACAAAGTACTCGTCCAGGTCCGTACCAGCGTCCTCGCCCAGGCATTGAGCGAGGCTGTCCCTTCTTGCGCCAGGCCCCTGGTGGGAGCCGTCTGTAGACGAAAACCAGATCGCCCGTCTCGTACTTCTTGAAGGACCTGAAGCGCGCGGCCTCCGCTCGCTTAACTCGGTCAGAGTTCTCGGTCTGGATGTGAGCCAGCCGCGCCATCCGTCGTACCTGGGCGTCCCTGCTGAAGGTACCGTCCTGCAGCTCGGCACTGATGAGCGGCAGGTTGTTTGGCTCGTCCGACAGGTTGACTGTCGTCCCGGTCGGCGTCCGTCCCGCATAGCGCTGCAGCGGGCTGAACCCGTCGATCCTGATCAGGTCGTTCCTGGCCGCTGTCTGGAGTCCGAGCATCTCGCTGGTGGGTACTTCGGCTGAGACCATCTCGTCGAAAGCGTCGAGGGCCTCCTTGAAGGCTTCAATAGCGCGCTCGATCTTGCCGATCTGCCAGTGGGCGTCGGCCGCGCATGGGAGACAGTAGACTCCCTGGCTCTCGATCCACTCGCGGAACTCGTCGGAGATGGCGCTGCCGGCAGGGTCGTAGCGCATGACCTTCGGGCGTCCCATCCAGGGGAACCATTTTGTAGCAAAGATATGCCGAAGGTCGCCGGCACGAACTTGTCGAGTCGTACCCGGGATCGGCTTCTCGTCGATCAGCCGCACGTAGAGGATGTCCGAGCCGGCGTCGAGTATCGCCAGCGCCATCACGTTCGTGTTCGTGCTGCGACGGATCCACGAGAAAGCGTCAAAAAGCACCTCGTGACCGTTTTGGGGCTGCTCTGCTGATGAGGCTGGTGGCCGCTTAGTAGGTGGTCGATGTGCGTCACAGATGTCGCACTTGAAGGTTCTGGCCAGACGTAGCACCTCTGGTCGAGCGCCACGGTCGCGAAGGTATCGCAGTAGATGAGCTCGAGGTAGGTGTCCGAGGTTGGTATGGACCAATCTGATGTAGCTCTCGAGCTTCTTGACCGTCTCGTTGGTGAGGTTGTGCGCTTCCTTGCCGTCTCGTGGTGGAAGAGTCGGCTCGTCCTCCTCTGGCGTAGGCTCTGTCGGTGGCTGCTGGGTAGCTGCCATGCAGAGGCAGTTCACAACCTCGCCCTCGAAGTAGTTCTGGTTCTGGCTCTTGGTCAGAGCCCTGAGGATCCGGCGGCGCAGCATCTTGGGGTAGGAGCCCGAGGCCTCGGTCCTCAAGCTACTCTCTATCTCCTCGTGGTAGTGTCCTCCACGGCACTGTAGAGGTTGTAGGGCTACCCAGATCCTCCTGTCATTCGTCAGGAACTTCCAGCGCTTCTTCATGAGCTCGCCCGTGTCAGGGGCTCGTAGTCCGCAGGCGCAGCCATCCACGATCACCTCGTACGGTAGGATCTTGTGGAGATCCTTCCAGCAGGTCTTCTGCCACGACCGACTGTTGTGGGGCTGCTCGGCGAGGGCCGAGCCGTTCAGGTTGAGCACCTGGTGCTCGATGAGCCTCTTGTTGTTCTCGAAGATCCGCTGGCTCTTGAGCCGCTTCCTGCGAAGGTTCTCCTTCTGTTGATCGTTGCGCTGGTTGACGTTCTGCATTATCGACCATGGACCGCAGGGTGGTGTACTGACGAAGAGCTCCGGGCGCTTCTCGTCTAGCAGGAACTTCGCCTTGTGGTAGCCCTGCGGCTTGCTGAGGTCGTTCTCGTTGAAGAGGCCGAGCCGCTCGTAGTGGTAGCCCTTCTCGTCGCACACCTTCCCGAGATTCGAGTCCTCGTGGGTGTACGCTTCGACCATCGTCAGGCGGCCGAAGGTTGCGAGGGCGCACATAGCTCCGAAAATGGCCGACCTCGTCGCATGTGTAGCTGCCCGTATCGCCTGGCGCTGGTGGCCCTTCAGCGGCCTGCCCTCGTCGCCGCGCCACCGAGACCTCTCGGCCTGAATCTCACTCAGGCCTTCGCCCTGACCGCACACGCCTGGTGGCACCAACCGTAGAGCCTCATCTTCACGATCGGCTCGTTCTTGGCGATGCATCGGCGTAGCTTGCAGTCCGGGTGCTGGCACATCTGAGTGTAGTGAGCTGAGATCGCCGGGCCCACGGGCATGGCCGTCGTCTCCATCTTCTTGGTCTCCGTCTCCTTCTTGATCTTGATAGTCGCTGCCGCCGTGCCGCGCTGCTCGATGATGTACGCGATGATCTTGTCGATCACCTCCTCCTTCTTGCCAGTCTGGGTCAGTCCCCACATCTTGCACAGCGGCTTGAGATGGTTGACCAACGTGACCATGCTGAGCTGCTCGTGGATCTGCTCCGAGCTCAGCGCTGCAAACGCATCCACCTCCGCAAACTTGGTCAAGAAATCTAACTTTGCGGTCTCGATGGTGGCTCGCAGCTCTTGATTCTGCTCGCGCGCGGCTGCTGAGGCTGCTGACTTCTGGGACAGGGGGCGCTGCTTCGGCTCCGTGCACGGCTGGCGCGGCTCGATCTTCGCACGATGCTCGATGTCCGCCGGCCAGGTCGGGTACCTCTCGGGTAGCAACTGCACGGGTAGTCCGAGGCTGTCCAGCTTCCAGTTCACACGGTCGATCGTCTTGATGAAGACCTTCTGGATGATTCGTCCCCAGCGACGGCACTGCGTCCACTGCTGGAGGAGCTTGCTGGACCACATCTCCCAGTTCGGTAGGTGCTCCTGCAGGAAGGTGTCCGTCATCCGCTTCATGCTGTTGTCCAGCTCCGAGCCCTCGATCGTGTAGAAGATGTGACCCCTCACGTCCTGATGAGCGATCAGTCGCCCCTGCGGCTGCATCCGTTGTAGTGTAGGCCGTGCCGGCGTCGACGTGAAGGTCGCCGCCGATGATCCCGAGTCCAGTAGCGGGGCCCGAACATCCACCTGCTCCCATGGGCCATCCATCTCCTCGTTCTCCAGCTTGATCTGCTGGCTCTCTGCTTTGCGACATTTCGCCTCGCGGTTGAGGCTCATGCGAATATGTAGGACCAACTGGATGTTGTCGGAGCTCAGGGCTCGAATATGGAAGAATTACTGGTTGCTAAAATCGGAGCTCTGAGCTCGAATCGTTCGCACCAAAAATGGCTCTTGGAGACGGGGATGTTTCTGTTTGGAGCTCTGGAAACTCTGGGATCTCAGGGAAGGCCTCTGGAGATAACTCCGATAATGCCGTAGGTGATGGAGCCGGGGCTGATACGGATGATGTCCCTGACGTAAGTGATGATGTCCCCGACGTAAGTGATGATGTCCCCGACGTAATTGATGATGTCCCCGTACTTGTAAATGATGATGATGTTGCTGTAGGCGTAATTGGTGATGGTGCCCCCGTACTCGTAAATGATGATGATGTACCTGAGGCCTGTAGGGCTCCATTATCTGGGACCTCGTCGGGGAACTCCTGGGGCACCACTGCAGACGGTTTATCGTTCTCGCTTTTGATCGGCTGCTCTTTTTCATGTTTTCCCCCCGGCACCGTAGCAGTCTCGGGTGTCGAGGGCGTGGGCCCCTACTCGAGAGATGCCACGAAGCCAAAATCGGCTTGTCGAACAAGTGGCAGTGCAAGATGACCGCTCGGAAGGACAAGCAGTTCAGCTCGGCGCCCGAGCTTCTTGAAGTAGACAGAATGTGCCTCGCAGTCGATCACAGCTCCTAGGCGGCTCAAAACATCCACTCCGATCAAGAGCGGGGCATCTGCGTCGAGGATGTTTATCTCGAGCTCGCCGTCCACACCGGCGATCATCAGAGGGAAGGTTGCCTTGCCGGTGCAGGTCTTGGCGTTGCCATCTCCAAAGATAAAGGTACTCTTCTGGCTAACGTCCATCTTGATGTTTTTGCCCGTCTGCTCATAGATGATATCGCGTAGGTTCTCGGCAGCCTCGATGCCCATGATGCTGGAGGTCGCGCCGATGTCCAGAATACCGAAGCCCTTGGAGGAGCTCTGCTTCACACTCATGAGGATCCAGTCGTCTAGCTTCTCCAGGGTTGGCCAGCTCGGTAGTTTCACATGATGGACTTGCCCCCGCCTCTCGATGGATTTCTCCACCTCTAGGTACATCGTCTTCTCGAGCTGTTTCTTCGGAAGCTTCGGTCGATTCTTGATCACTGGCTTATTGTTGAGCGTCGTCTCCAGCTCCAGGCGCGAGGTCTCGTTCCTGATGAGATTCGCCTCCATCTCGGCGTCCTGCTCGGCGCCGAAGATCACGTAGGCTCCGAAACCTCGCTTAGGTCGTTCACGATCTTGGCTGCTGGTGGAGGAAGCGCGGTCTTTGTGATCCTTAGTCTCGTGATTGCCGCCGCACTTCAGTCAGGGTCCCTTACGGGGCGGCCGGCCCTGGGAGCGATCTCCATCACGTCGGGGTGGTACATCGCGTCGTTGTCCGCTCCCTCGGCCTCGTCCTTTCGATGATCCAGAGCCTCGGGATCCAGCTCGAGGTCCCTGGAACTTGCGCTGTCCTCCGCGTCCTTCTCGCTTCTTGTTCTCATCCACGGGGTAGAACTTCCTGGCGGTCTTCACTCGTCGGAGTAGATCTCGAGCTTCTTCGAAACTGCGCTGCTGGGCGGCGAACGCGGTCTCGGCCTCCTCGATCTCCTGGGCGCTGTAGAGCGGCTCCTCGGGATCTCCTTCGTCCTCGTCGCCGTCCGCGTCCTCATAGGTGGCCTCCGACTGGTCGCCATCGTAGTAGCTGCAGTCGTCGTCGTCCTCGCTGTTCTCCTCCCAGCTGGCATGGATCCGACCTCGCTCGCGATGGCGATGGTTGTCCTTGCCGTGCTTCTTATCTCTGTTCGTCAGCTCGTCATCTGGCCAAGATACTCTTAGCTGCTCGCCGCTGCTGTCGTAGTCGAAGTTGCCTTTGACTGCGCTGATAACTGCCGCACGCTCCGTCGGGGAAAGTCTTGATCTCTGCAGCAGTAGCCATCCGCGCAGCTGGTCAAGAGGAGTCGCCTGTTTGAAGTCGGTTCCGAAATCCGGATGCTCGGGGATCTCCTCAAGTCCTGTCCTGATGAAGTTCCAGAGCTGGTGGTTCAACTCCTTGGCCTTGTCGGCGGCGTCCTCCGGGCCCTCCTGCTCGATCTTGTACAAGAACCAGGTGAGCTCCGAGTAGAGGGTGTTCCATTCCTTTGACCTTTCCGACAGCCGAGCCGTGCGCTGCTTCTTGAAATACTCGGTGTCGAAACCCTTGACCACGTCGTGGTAGGCCTCATCGTCTCTGCTTATGTAGCTCGGCATTGGCTCTCCAGTGTCTCGACGAAGATCGAAGATCCATCGGGCCAGATATTTGCCTGCATCCTGGATGGGCTGAGCACCGAGCTTGGCACGAATGTGTCGCAGTAGCTCAGCTGCACCGTCGTCTCTCTCAATGCGGTCCCAGTCCACATCCTTGGCTGCTTGTCGTGCTCGACCTTCCAGTCGTCTCCACAAACGAGGGCCGCATACATATCGTTCATCTCGACGGGTTCCTCGGATGTAAGCTTTGACGTCTCTCTCGTAATCGTCCACCGTGGTGAGATCTCCGTTCCACTTCGGCATGATGTCATCGTTGTTATTGTTGTTCTTCGTCATGACTCAAACGATGAACTTCTATCCGTGAATCTGTAGTCCGTGGAGCTTGATAGCTCCGCTACCATGCAATGGTCCCGCTTAGAACCACTGCCCTGATAGCAATCCTTGATGATGCTACTCTCTTCTCTGCTCTGACAACGTGTCGAGGGTACCGTTGGCGGTCGGGTCGAATATGAGGGCAGTGACTGTGCGATGCTGATCGCACTGTGGTGATGAACAGGATCTGTTTATCAGCGGGCAGTTCGCTGTCCTGCGTCTCTCGGACGCACACCAGAAGTCCAGCGTCGCTGAGACGCTGCAAAGGCTTGAGCCAGAACGGTTTCGGATGAACCTGTTCTGGGATATTATAATGGGGATCTCGGAGGATCTCGGAGGGCCTACTAAGCAAGGCTGGCTGCAACCTGGAGGCTAAAGGGGGCCCGATTCGCCGGGAAACGCTTGGCTAACATACATGGGGCTCCTTTGGAGCCTGAAGCTTATATCACGCACGGCCTCTAGAGGCCATCTGTCGTAAGTAGGCTCTAGTGAGGCAGGCTCGGGGCTGTGAATTGCACCCTGGAGGGGTGGGAGGGGCACGAAACCATGTAAATAGTATGGTATTCCGATACCCTCCTCGCTCAGGCGGGGCCTCCCTGGAGGGGTGGGAGGGGCACGAAACCATGTAAATAGTATGGTATTCCGATACCCTCCTCGCTCAGGCGGGGCCTCCCTGGAGGGGTGGGAGGGGCACGAAACCATGTAAATAGTATGGTATTCCGATACCCTCCTCGCTCAGGCGGGGCCTCCCTGGAGGGGTGGGAGGGGCACGAAACCATGTAAATAGTATGGTATTCCGATACCCTCCTCGCTCAGGCGGGGCCTCCCTGGAGGGGTGGGAGGGGCACGAAACCATGTAAATAGTATGGTATTCCGATACCCTCCTCGCTCAGGCGGGGCCTCCCTGGAGGGGTGGGAGGGGCACGAAACCATGTAAATAGTATGGTATTCCGATACCCTCCTCGCTCAGGCGGGGCCTCCCTGGAGGGGTGGGAGGGGCACGAAACCATGTAAATAGTATGGTATTCCGATACCCTCCTCGCTCAGGCGGGGCCTCCCTGGAGGGGTGGGAGGGGCACGAAACCATGTAAATAGTATGGTATTCCGATACCCTCCTCGCTCAGGCGGGGCCTCCCTGGAGGGGTGGGAGGGGCACGAAACCATGTAAATAGTATGGTATTCCGATACCCTCCTCGCTCAGGCGGGGCCTCCCTGGAGGGGTGGGAGGGGCACGAAACCATGTAAATAGTATGGTATTCCGATACCCTCCTCGCTCAGGCGGGGCCTCCCTGGAGGTGTGATATGGTATGGTATGCTATGGTACGCCATGGTATGGTATGGTACGGTATGGTACGTATGGTGTGGTATGGTATGGTACGGTATGGTACGTATGGTGTGGTATGGTATGGTATGGTATGGTATGTGATGGAGCGGGAGGTGGGTGGGAAGGAGAGGGTGTTCTGGGAAAACAAGAACCCCACTCAGGATGTGGGGAATGATGCGACTCATACTAATAGTAGTAAGAATAACAATATCAATGATGATAACATTTGTCATAATAGTAATTTTGATGATGAAAATAATAATCAGACTAGCAATCGTAATAATATTGCTAGTACTAATAATGATACTATTAGCATCGATGATGACAATACTAAACATGAAAATAAAACACAATTAGCATTATTATTATCATACAGATACAAAAAAAACGTCCCCAAACTGTTATTTTGACTATTTCTGAATACTCCTCCTGTGGATGGACAGGCCCGACATAAGACAACCGTTGACAACCGTCGAAGGCCTCGAGCCCCCGCCGTCGCCTCGACACACCGGCCCTCCTCCCACCGAGGAGCGCAGGAGAGGCAGCCAGCGGGGAGAGGCGGTTGCGGGGCGCCCCGGCGGGCCTGCCGGGCGGGAGCACCTCGCCGCAGAGGTCGATGTGCACCTCGGGCGGGCATCGGGCGGCCAGGCCGCGCGCGCGGGAGAGAGAGAGAGGCGGAGGAGGAGGAGGAGGAGGAGGAGGCGGCGGCGGAGGAGGAGGCGGAGACGAGGAGGAGGAGGAGGAGGAGGAGGAGAAGGAGGCGGAGGCGGAGACGAGGAGGAGGAGGAGGAGGAGGAGGAGGGAGGAGGAGGCGAGGACGAGGAGGAGGAGCGGAGAACGAGGAGGAGAAGGAGGCGGAGGAGGAGGAGAGGAGGGCGGCCCGGGCGCGCGCGCGAGAGAGAGAGATAGGGAAACGGACAATGCCATAAACATAAAAACTCTGAGGTCCGCGCGGATTTCTCGGATCCGTCCTGGACCCCTCGGCGCCTCCGGCGCCGCCCCTGGCGCGCTCCGCGCGCCAGGGCGGGGGGTCCAGCTCCGATCCGAGAAATCCGCGCGGACCTCTGAGTTGTTATGTTCATGTCATTGTTCGTCCCTTTAGAATAGATTCTGGGTGGCCTGGCGGGACGCCGTTGGCGCATCGGGCGGCCGGGACCCCAACGTTCAGCGGCAGCTCGTGGGAGCCTCCCATGGCGTCTTGCTGGCTCTTGCGGAGCGGCGCTAACCGACGCTAGCCGACGCTACATCGACACTGAATCGTCGCTGCTGCACCCCACGGGCGGGATTGCGAGAGTCGAATTACTCCCTCGCATGCGACGCACAAATACAAACACTAGATGTCCTCCTTGGAGGCGCGCGTCCGACCCGAACATACAGTATCCCCATCTTGTAGCAGATCGTTTCCCGAGCGGTGTGGCCAGAAAGCGCCCGCCACGACGCATATACTACAGGATTTCTCGGTGCGCGCGTCGACCCTGGGGGGGCGACGCACATATAGTAGAAGTAGGTTGGGGTGACGCCGAATGAATTGCCACCGAACTCACGGGTGGGTCTGGCGGGCGGGGCCCTGACGAGCGTCGGACGGGCGAGCGGCCCCCCCTGACGGCCAGGTAATGCCGCAACAGAGCCTCGACGGCCCGCCCGGGCGGGCGGAGCCCAAAGCGAAGACGGCCGCGGGCGAAACTGACCGGGTTCACTCCAGACTTCTGGAGGCCTGGAGATGAGCACCAACAGTGACGCAGGGGGGTGCCTCCACCAGGGAAGACGATCCTAGGTTTCGGTGTTGGTGATAATTTTTCGGCCGCCCAGTGCCTAGTGAGCCAGAAATGTATGACCACCATCACCGAGATCGGGACACTCTTCCCTCGGTGGAGGCACACCGCCGATATTGTTGGTGTCGACCTCGAGGCCTCCGAAGACCTACTCACCTGGCGGAAGAAGAAGGCAGAAGCATGACGCAGCAAGGCGTTGAGAGTAGATGGGGTGTCCGCCCGCCCCAGAACGAGGACGGACAAGGGGAAGCCACTCGACCACTGGAGTAGGAAGGCGCTTAAAGTCGATTGGAATCTATGACTCCAAAAATCCCTACGTATCACCCCGCAGATGCGGATAAGAGTGAGGGGGCGGTGGGTACGCCGGCAGTCTGCGAGACTCTGGAGAAGCCCGCCGCAAGCACCAAGCTTTTCGTTAAACCACATAGGTCGCAGGTGGGTCGCAAGTGGGTCGCGGCTGAACCAATGTGGGTAGGTCGCGGGTGGGTCGTGGGTGGGTCGCAAATGGATCGCGGCTGGGTCGCGGGTGGGTCGCGGGAGGGTCGCGGGTTGGTCGCGGATTGATCGCGAGGTGGGTCGCGGGTGGGTCGCGGGGTGGGTCGCGGGTGGATCGTGGGGTGGGTCGCGGGTGGGTCGCGGGTTGGTCGCGGATTGATCGCGAGGTGGGTCGCGGGTGGGTCGCGGGGTGGGTCGCGGGTGGGTCGCGGGCGGGCCGGGGTGGGTCGCGGGGCGGGTCGCGGGTGGGTCGCGGGGTGGGTCGCAGAGTGGGTCGCGGGGTGGGTCGCGGGGTGGGTCGCGCGGTGGGTCGTGTATGGGTTGCGGGTGGGTCGCGGGTGGGACGGCGACAACAAACAACAAGAACAACAAGAACAACAAGAACAACACAAACAACAACAACAACAACAACAACGACAACAACAACAACAACAAAAACAAAAACAAAAACAAAAACAACAACAAAAACAACATCAACAACAACAACAACAACAACCACAACCACAACAACAACAACAACAACAACAACAACAACAACAATAATTTTAAGACCGTTCGCCCTTATATGCTCGAGTGTCCAATGACGCGTATTTCCCAAACCCTCGATACCCGCCCTCTTCGTCTTCGATCGAACCCCGTTTCGGGGGTATACCTTTCTTCCCTGCAGGCCGGGCCCCGGCAAGCGGCGGGGCGGCCGCGGACCGTCGGCCTGGCCAGCGGCAGCGCTGATCGGCGGGGCGGCCGCGGACCGTCGACCCGACCCCAAGAGGGACGGACAGGGGACCGACCACGACGACGACGACGACGACGACGACGACGACGACGACGACGACGTCGAAGACGACGGCGACGACGACGACGACGACGGCGACGACGAGCGAAAGCGAGAGCGAGAGAGAAAGACAGCTGGGCCAAGAAGGGCAAAAAGTTGGCCACGGGGACACGAAGCGAATTCGTCACGAAGAGCGCGAACGAGCGGGGGCCACGAAGTGCAGATAATGCGGGGCCACAAAGGCAACTATGGGGCCACTGAGGGTAGCAACTGGGCCACGTAGGACAGTGAGGGGGACACAAATGGCGACAGCGGGGCCACGAAAGGCATGCACATGGGGCCACCACGGGCGTGACTCCTGGGTGCCTGGGTGTCGGGAGCGCGGCGCTTGGGCAAATTGCAAGAAATCCCAACGCAAGGCCATTCTTCAGTAAGTTGCAAGGAAGTCTCCAGCGAGAGCGCGACTCCAGAGCGCCGGAAGAGCGATTCCTAAATAAATTGGAAGGGAGTCCCAAGCGAGAGCGCGATTCCTGAATCAAATGCGAGGAAGTCTCGGGCGGGAGCGGGGGTCCTGGCTAAATTGTAAGGAACTAAAGCGGGA